TGTCTCTCTCTCTTTCTCTCTCTCTCTCTTTCTCTCTCTGTCTATCGATCTATCTATCTATTGATCCATCTATCTCTCTCTCTCTCCCTAGCTATCTCTCTCTGCCCCCCCTCTCTCTCTCTCTCTCTCTCTTTCTCTCTCTCTCTCTCTCTCTCTCTCTCTCTCTCTCTCTCTCTTTCTTTCTCTCTCTCCCTCTTTCTGTAATATTTCCACTGTGCTGGTGCGCACGATGGACGTGCAAATGGTGAGCAAAACAGTCGATCTGTAACTGTAGTCCAGATATGTCCCTTCTTGTCCTTCATTAATTTTGGTTCCAAATTGAGTCAAAATAGAGTCTCCATGGTGAACTGGAACCACGTCATAGTGCGCAGTCTAGGATATTGCAATACATGTACAAATCTGTGACTTTGAACTATTTTAGCTTTGTGCCAAGTCAAAGAGGAAAGAGAAATAAAATAAAGTACGGTAGCCTTTCAACTTTGGTTACGGAGATCTTTTCTGTCTTCAATTCCTAATTATCCAAACATACTTTTAAAGGCCACCTGGTTGTTGTTGTGGTTGTAAATGTGTCCGCCCTCATCGACACAATCTAAATCATTAGGGAGGCGGGCATCTACCGTGCCTGTCAGGCTCCACCCGGCTGAGAGAGATACCACAGCCCCAACGACAGACGGAGATACAACATCCCCGGGGGCAGTACTACTTGCTGAAGTGTCATTAGGCCATTCCCAAAGTGGGAACATTAACATGTTCTTATGCACAGTAGAATTGTAAAAGGGATGATTCATCAATGCCATGCTCATTACTGTTCCTGAATTGCAAGAGGGAGCTGCTGCTTTTTCTTTCCTAATCCTTACTATCGTCATTTTTCCTCTACTTCTTTTGTACTATGTTTGTCACACTCTTGTGACCCGCTATTTCCGGGGTGCCCTGATAGTCGAAGCAGACTTTGTGCTGTTGAAGCCAGAGAGGAGAGCAGAGTAAGCCTGACTCCCTGTATGGACCCATATGGCCTTATGCAGGTACGAGCGCCGTAAAACATCTACTAAAAAAAGACAGTGATACAATGTACTCTTGTGGGGTGTACCGTCAGACGGATAGACTATGTACTCATGTGGGGGTGTACCACCGGCTCACTTGGTTCTTTCTCGACTACGGGGCTGGTGATCCTGGTTCGAATCCATTGTACCAAAACGGCAGCTCCCTCCCCCCCCCCCCCCCCCCCTTTATTAAGGAAAATCTAGCTGACTCGTCTTAACAGAATCAAAAGAAATACATTGAGTGTTGCGCTAGGTGTTACACTATACATGCACCCCAGGTTCCATCTAAATGAGCGTTCTTTGAGTCTGAATCTTTGCGCTCCTCCCTCTTTCTACACACCATAGTGACAGCTCGCTCTGTTTGTTCTACTCGGACTTCTTTTCAAGTTCTGGTCGAGCGGGCGGGTGGTTAGCGGGTGCTCTGGTGTGGTTTTCTCCTTCTTTCTTATCAAACATTTATCATCTTTATCTCGTCTCCTTTTTTTCTTTATAAGTTACTTACTTGTAGAAACACTTTTAATCTTCGGCACTTGTATAACCTACAAAATGTATTTATTGTTTTGCAAGATCCGTAAAACTCGAACTCAAACTACAGTTGCTAGAGCTACCCGTGGAAAGATCAGCAGCGGGACAGCCAGGCGCCACAGCAGGGGGAGACAAGTGGCGCCCTCTGGCACCCAAACTACCCCCCTGGCTGTCAGGGGAGGTTATTATTTTATTGATCGCGAGCCGGGGATGCGCCGTTTTATACCGGGGCCAATTTGTAAAGGGGATGAGCCCGTGCCTGGCTCTTTGGCCCCTCCAGGCCCGGGGGGAGACGGATGGGGGACAAGAAATCAATAATCTTGGAGAGTGTTTAACGCTCAGCCCTAAATGGATGGGAAGCCAGGACCGAAAGGGGGGGGGGGGGGGGGG